TTCCGCCAACGCTGTCGCTGCTGCCGCGAGGTCCGACAGATGAGCTGCATCGCATTTCATCGGGCCTGTTGTTCTGACGGACACGAGCCTGTACGTGCTTACGTCATTTAACGTGCGAAGTCGCGTAAGGACTTCAGGTTCCGCGCACTGGTCTCGCATGACGGAACAGATTTCTGGCGGCAGCAGCGGCAGCAGAGCCGTTCACGCTGTCCTGGTGAAGCGGTCGTGACGCCCGAAATATTGTATATTTACGTTAATCTGTGCTGCATCCAAATGTGTAAGGTATTGTGAAACGCTAGTTACCATGAGGAACACGTGATCAGTGACGCGCTTGCTCGCGGGCAATACATGTCGCTTCGACGTGACCTCCGCTGACGCCTTGGGTAATTGACCGGTGTATGAGCAAGGGCTCTGAAGTGAAACCCGCCCTCGAATAGCGATAGGCATGAGTGGTTCCAATGGCCGCGATGTCCTGGTAGCTACGTGTAGTGAACTGTGAATGTAACTACGCCTCTTTGAATATCTGCTGAACGATTGCTTTTAGTGTGTATTTATAGCGCGTGTCGGTTAATTGATGACAAATAAAATGGTACGTAGACGAATTTGTCTTTCTACCTGATTGGTGCAGAAATGCTGGATTTGGACTGAAGCGTGGTGGTCAACCGCTTTATTTAAATATAGATTCGTTGTCACGTTCCCAAAATTACTTGCCCGCTTGTAAACCGCAAGCAACTACGTCTGTATTCCTCTCCTATAATCATCAACGTTCACAGAAGTACCGTAAGCACTTGGACAGTGCCACGCTGCGTCAGCCGCCGAAGCAGCCTCAGATACGACATCAACACCTGTAACGCCTCGTGTGCTACAGGTGGCGGCCACCACGGCGGTCAACAGGCTGCGTGGTCAGACGGTCCCGGCATCCCGGTCTGGCGGGTGCCGGCGCGACAAACCCTGGAGGTCAGGCGGGTGCCGGCACGACACCCTGGAGGTCAGGCGGGTGCCGGCGCGACACCCTGGAGGTCTGGCGGGTGCCGGCGCGAACACCCTGGAGGTCTGGCGGGTGCCGGCGCGAACACCCTGGAGATCAGGCGGGTGCCGGCGCAACACCCTGGAGATCTGGCGGGTGCCGGCGCGACACCCCGGAGGTCGGGGGGTGCTGGCACGGAGTCCCGGATGTCCCACGCGCACCCACACGCCGGCCCGGGCTACAAGCGCGGCCGGCGTCCAGGAGGTCGGGGGGTGCCGGCGCGGCGTCCCAGATGTCCCGCGCGCACCCACGCGCCGGACCGGCTCCCAGCGCGGCCGGCGTTGCGTCCGACGGCTAATCAGCGCCCGCCCGCAATAACCTCGAGCCAATATGGCCTGCTGATTAGCAAAATCACGCGGCCGCACGTCAGACAGCGCCGTCCGGTGACGAGCCGACGTCGATGGGCCGCGTCGAATCGATGACCAGATGAGTCGGCGCCCCGCCGGCTGCGACCGGGCCGCGCCGGCCGGACCGCTGTCAGTCCCGCTGGTCGGTCCCGCCGGGCCGACGGACGTGAGCTCGGGCCAGCTCCGCCACGCAGCGGCAGGCAGACGCGCGCTGGCTTCGGCGGTGTATTGTATGCCGTCATGACAACAGAAGGCATCCGGTCATCCAGCCGCACGCAGGCGGCGCCACCGCTGACGACCCGCGCGTGTTGGGCTGACTTTCTGCTCGAAAGACGCTGCCTATTGACGCGGTCCGCTCGACTTTGCGAGACGGCGAGGCTTCTATCACAGCTGCTCTGGGCCTAAGCAAATTGACGAGTTCTTTCAAACGCCGGCGGCTACGAAGCGGCGGCAGATGTAATTGGATGAGGCGGGGTCAGGTGGCCGGCGCTGGCGGAGGTTCTACCGACGCGCCGCTTCCCTGCCCCCTCGCAATGCAGCTAATTGGCCTCAGGAGAAGCACCTGGGAACGGTGGCGCCCCTGAGACGGCCAGCGCACGGCAGCCGCGGTTCTGCCGGCACCCCTCCGACCCTGACCTGACCCGCTCCGGCGTAGCTCACGTGGGAAACGTCCACAGGCATGGAAACAACTCCCACGGGAGAGCTGCGAATCCGGCCCTGCAATAAAACCCTCACCGGAATCAGGGCAATTGCCTGGAGAGAAAATAGATGGAGGCATGATGCTCGTCAGTTTGTGAGTTCAGAAGATTGACCGTCACATCTTACCGACATAAGCCATTGGTAAGGCTCGCATCCCACTTGTATCCTATGCGCTTAGTAGGTCGCTACAACCCAGCATGAACGGATTTCTCGTCGTGTTCTAAGTTACAACATCAAAATATGAACACCTAACACGCCATATAACCTTAAGCTCGACCGCCTCCACGCTGGAGCAAGAGCGCGCATGATACACCATGACATCCCAGGGGTGCATTGTCACTAAATAACCGTTTACAGGTAAACGTCAATCCATGATCGGTACGCTGGAAAGGGGCTTAGGGAATGGTCATCATGAAACAACACCACGGTTCCTCACCTCCTGAGTTGGGTGAGTTTCATGAAATTGATCGGGGAGGCAGGGCTTTCTGTAAAGTACGGTTATGATAATATGTTTGTCCCACGTAAGCTGTTTATCATGTTAGTGGCTCCCGACGAACCTCAACGTAAAATAAGCCTGACATTGACAGAGTTTGTCCAATCATCGTGAGCCATTGATGTCCCGAAAACACAAAACGTTCCGCCGAGCGCATCGAACGATGGGTGAGCGGAGAGGCGTTAATTGCATCCCGACACGTCCGCTCTGCGTCGGCTTTGAACACGGAGTGTCGCGTCATTGTTCTGACATCAGGTACGGGTCAGCTGCGCAGTTCACTTGGCTCATGAACCAAAACAGTGACTTCGCGAACAGAGACAGGAGACGGCGCCTGATATTCTGGGCTCATCAAATGGCGACCCATTTCATTTCAACGAAAGGAACACAGCTTGCCCCGCGTCAGCTGGTCTCCAGCGCAACACGGCTTCATACCAGTTCGCCTGATTAGGCAACGCTGTCCTCTTGGATAAACGCGAATGAAATTCCGTTATTCACATTCGTATGAATGCGAGCATGTGTACTTAACAAAAGGATCTCACGGCATTCAGTTTCCGCCAAAATTGTGATCATAAGATAACGGCAGCATCGTGCACAGAACAAACAAAGATGATTAGTTGGCAGCCGTCTCCAGTAAAGCGTGATTGGCGAAGACCGTGGTGGCTTAGAAAAGAATAATGGTAAGGACATCTTTGATCGCTGTGTTGTCAAACAAAGCTTGCAAAATATGTGGAAATGCCCCCTTCTTTCACTAAGGCAACTAATTCTCGACTTTTGAAAGCTGGGGCAAGCAAGTTTCAAAGCGTCTCATGGCCGACATCACTGCAAAACTGAACACAAATGACAAGTGTGATAGCGGTGCCAGTTCGTCTATACGCAATACGTTTTCGGTAATGTCGGTCTAAAGAGGTGGATCGGATAGCATAAAGCAAATGAGGAAGATGCCGTTCGGCAGACGAGCACAAAACAAAATATTTTTGCGTGCGTGTTATACGACTTTTGATACGACTTTTTACTTTTATACGACTTTCTACGACTCTGATACGACGCATGGGGTCAACGGCAGGAAGTGTTTTATGATGTATTGTAAGTTTTTAGGAACAAGTCGTTCATTTTGTGTTTAGGTTGCGTTGCTGGTGTAATTTCTGTTTGTTCACCTCTATGTCCTACTTTTGGGATGGCGGGGTGTAATTCCACACGCACGCCAATAAAAACCTGGCGTAAGAGAAGGAATGGGGCGTTTAAAACATGTTGCTGAAATGGCACCCAGAAACATCTGCGGACAGCACACTTACGCAATATAGCACAGCGCCAACCAAAATATTTGTCCATGTGCCTAGATGTTAAGCTAACTTAATGATGTATGTAATCTAACATAGCTTAAATGCTAACTGATAAATGATGCGATGCGTTCAGCAAAAAGCGCGGTATTTGTACTTAAGAGCACTTTTAATTGGGATTGACACCGATACTGCGAATCGGTAAGATCCACCCATCCTGACCTGCAATAGCCCCCATTTCGAGTCGACCCTTTCTCGGGGCCCGCGTGACGCTCTTTTCGCATATCTCACAGCTCCTCAGACGACCGGCCCTCGAGGCCGTGAGGGCATGGGCGAAAAGATGCAGCCAACTTGAATCATGTTTAATGGGCTTCTGAGCAGGTTTCCGTTGGTAATTTTGCCACCTTGCAGACTTTCAGATTTAGCTCGAATTCGGATTGAGTGTGCATAGTTTTAATTTCATTTTATCAATTTCCCCATTTGATACTTCTTCTGAACTCGAGGCATGGCCGGCCTTGAATCAAAAGCATGAAGCTGTGTATTTGGGTCCCGAGGTATAGAAACTGTTCCTAGTAATAGTAAGCAATTTAATTACCCTTCATTGCAATCATTCTTCGATTATGGAAAGCGTCTGCATAGACAGCCACTCCCAGGTTTAAAGGAAGCTTTTTAAATAGTCAAAAATCAGTTTTCCACTAATTGTCTAACAACGCAATGCTGGGTGCGAACAATTCCCGACAACGCTTACCGTGGAGATCGAATATCCATCACAAGTAACATGAACAAATGTCCCAAACAGCGAACACGCAGCATAGTGGTCATCAAATCGGGAAAGGTAAAAACAAAAAGACATACAGACATATGGACACCCACACCCGCAAGCGCGCGCGCGCGCACACACACACACACACACACCACACACACACACACACACAACACACACACACACACACACACACACACACCACACACACACACACACACACACACACAGCCACGCAAAAGTGTACAGCTCGGGTACAGTGGCTCCAAAACATTCACGCGTACACTGTTCACCGGAGGCGCTGTGCGGGACGACCCATTGCCTCCCGCACCGCGCGGTAAGGCCGCGCGGCCGAAGGAACGACGCGAACCCCTAACTTGGGCCGTCTCCTCTGACAGGAGGACTTCTGGGCGAGCAGCGAGCTGCGAGAGCAGGTGGGCTCACGTTCCTCGTTCCGCCTACTCGCGCGATGAGCCGCAGGTCAACACCTGGACAAACTCTGTCGAGCAAGGTTCACTGTCAGGCTGGACCGTCGTGCGCGCATGGGACGTGGGGGTGGGTTGAGCGCCGGATGCACGCAGGAGAGCGTGGTATTCCCATGCATCACGCAGGCTCGGAGTGGATCACACTGCACGTATTCACACGTAGTTCACACTACACGTAGTTCAGTGGGTGGGGAATATTGTTGCCTCGTAGCAGCTGTACAACTTGCTCTTGGGCACGTCCAAAACCATTATTTCCGACACACGTGGGCATCCTGCCTGTATTTCTGTCATCAAGATGGAAGCTGACACACACTATTACCCTGGTAGTTGATTTTCCCGTCTCCGTCTTTGTCTGCCTCCGAGATCATGTCATCGACCTCATTCTTGGTCATCTTCTCGCCCATTGACGTCATGATGTGCCTCAGCTCGGCCACCGACAAAAATCCATCATCGTCCTTATCGAAGACTCTGAGAAGAAGCAATGGTCTCCTATGCATCGGGAAATTAAGCACTGGAAATGGCCACCCGGGACCATCTGTCCATTGACGAATGGCCATTGTCGTTACCATTGACAGTGTGCGCGGCACGCCTTGCTTGAAAGCTGGCGCGATGCGTCAGTGTCAGTTCATCTGCCGTAATGGATTGAAACGAATTGAGTGCAACTTAATGTCGATTTAAGGGGAAGTCAAGTACTCAGGAGGTCTGCAGCTGCTATTTAATGTTGCGCTCGGTTGGAAAGCGATGGACTTGGTGCCAATCACGGTGGGGAAATAATTTGACTATGTCGCATTGAAACTGATTGGATTAGGCGATTACATAAAAAGAAGGATTCGCGGATGCGTTGTGTTTCAGATTTATAGGCAGTTTTTCGATCGAATGCTAATACCCTCTTGGTGATAAACATTAGCAAGTATGAAAAAGGAATTCACCTTTTCAAATATTGAGGAACCTGAGAGCCACTCCCCAGACCTGTTGGCCAATGTAACCACCCAACGTCTCACATAAAACTACCTGAAGGCCTCCTTCAGCTCGTCTTCACTCTCCATGCCGGACATCTTCCGTGCCATCATCTGCAAGAACTCGTTGAACTCGATCTGACCGATGCCTTCTTGGTCGACCTTGGTGACCATCTGCTCCAGCTCCGTCACTGCCAAATGACCAAACGTGACGTCACGCCCGGACCACGTGATCCGTTCAGCCAATGACTCTCAAAAGGGATGTCACAGCTATCGTTCACGTGTTGCCTGTCTGATCGCGCAGTTACCAGCCTGTTTGGCAGTCACACACGCTGTCGTTACGTGCCCCGTTACTCTCGCCATGTACTTTGCTGGATTCAGTGCGTATTGTTTCACCTATTTTTTCCACATAGGTATTTAGCAGCTACTCACAGCTGACTTAAGGCGCACGTTCACCGCGACCGTGATCTGTGGTAGTTCTACAGTATTGAGCTTATAAGCCCGGTTCGTGCCCAGAATCCAAGAGTGGCATACTTCTTGGTAGCGGAAGCAAGGAGCAGGATATGTCTCATTACCTCTTGCCGTTCAGTGGGAGCTAAGATGATTACCAAGCCCCAGCACCGCCCGGTCAATATGATGACTCTTGTCGACTTAGCCTAAAAACAGCGGCACGGGATTGTGAATCGACTGAGCATACGCGACGTCGATAGCCAAGGTAAAGCGAGCATAATGGCTGTCTTTAATGGTTCATGGTGAAAGACGACACGTTATTTGAGTCGAAAAAATTATGATGGTGATTTCTATGGCCGATGTGTTTTAATAACCGATGGCGATTTTGAGTTGAAATCAAGAGATCAAGGGTGAAAAATCGCAACTTAACGCTTGTTGCAACATAACGCACACCGAGTATTGCGCGGGGCCTTTGGTCCGTGCTGCTACTCCTCCTCTTTCCTATCTCCAACAGCTCTCCACGCAGTGTGTCCCTCCCGACACTGACCCGGCCCACGGCCGTCAGTCTCCGCGACATCAGCCGGCCCGCGCGTGCCGTCGGTGTGGGGGACAACTCCCCTCCCCGACACTGAGCCCCGACCCACGGCCGTCCGTCTCCGCCCGTCCGCCGGCCCGTGTGTGCCGTCGGTGTGGGGTCACGTCCATCCCCGACACTGACCCCGACCCACGGCCGTCCGTCTCCGCCCGTCCGCCGGGCCCGTGCGTTGCCGTCGGTGTGGGGACACGTCCTCCGCCGACACTGATCCCGACCCACGGCCGTCCGTCTCCGCCCGTCCCCGCCGGCCCGTGTGTGCCGTCGGTGTGGGGACACTCCCCTCTCCGACACTGACCCCGACCCACGGCCGTCCGTCTCCCGCCCGTCCGCCGGCCCGTGTGTGCCGTCGTGTGGGGAACACTCCCCTCTCCGACACTGACCCCGACCCACGGCCGTCAAGTCTCTGTCCGTCCGCCGCCCCGTGTGTGCCGTCGGTGTGGGGACACTCCCCTCTCCGACACTGACCCCCCGATCCACGGGGCCGTCCGTCTCCGCCCGTCCGCCGGCCCGTGTGTGCCGTCGGTGTGGGGACACCTCTCCCCTCTCCGACACTGACCCCGACCCACGGCCGTCATTCTCTACCACCGTCCGCCGGCCCGTGTGTGCCGTCGGTACCGGGATGCGCCCCTCCCAACCAGCCCACCTGTAGGTCGCTGGCCGAGCGACTTCATCACTACTCCCAGCTCGTGCATGCTGATGACGCCGTCCTCGTCCCGGTCCAGCAGCATGAACGCCTCCTTGAACTCTACGAATGTGGCCGGACGATGTCAGCCACGAAAGGTAGGGGAGACAAACTTCGAAGGGACAAATCAGCATACGTGAGGCCGAACAGTAGGAGTGTGCCAACACCCAGGGAGCTTTCCTTCCGCCGTCGACTGGGGCGCGATCTCTCACGCGCCGCCGCAGTCGAAGCGACGACGGCTGGCGGCCGCTAGGGGGCAGCTGGGATTGAGTGGGGGCGCAGCCCTGCACGGAAAGGAAGGGTAGAAAGGTGACGGTACATGCACGGATGTGGTGATAGCCTCAGTCTAGAAAACACTCGGTAAGCATGTATCTAGCGGCAAGACTCGGCTTTGACGGTCAAGCAATAAAAACGCTCGCATCGTCAGCAACTTCAGGAGGGGAAGACGCAAGGTTGGAGGGACGTAGCCGCTCTGTGTCCCACTGACAATGCTCATACGCTGAGCTGAGCTGAGCTGGGCTGACCATATGACAGGCAATCTTAGGTTAGCTGAGCTAAGCTGGGCAGGGCCGAGCTGAGCCGAGTCGAGACGAACAGAGCCGAGCCGAGCTGAGAACTGAGTCGAGAACTGAGCTGAGAACTGAGACGAGCTGAGCTGAGCTGAGCTGAGCTGAGCTGAGCCGAGCTGAGTCGAGCCGAGCTACTCGCACTCACCAGCTACCAGCTCCTCAGTCAGGCCATACTCCACGAGGTCGATGGTGACGATCAGGTCGTACTGCTGGTGACGGCCCTTCTTGCCCTTCTTGCCCTTGCCCCCCTTGCCGCCGCCCTTCTGGTGGCCCTTTTGAGCCGTGCGCTGCGACGACGGGCCCTTGCCGACGACATCAGTGGAACAGGCTTTCGATCGCGCCTGTGGGAGTGAGCGAAGCGTCAGCGATGACAGGTGCTGTAGTGGTAGGAGCGGGCAGTGCAAATTCGTGCCAAGTTCCGCACTTGAGAAGAGTGGGCGAGTGGCATGTTTTACGGACAGGCGGCGACACTTCTCTCCGAATGTCATAGTATTTCACGCCTCTAGACAACACTCACTGCGTGACACATTTTTGTGTGCGTTTCGATCGACTTCCATCGTCATGATAAGGAAGGCAAACCATCTTGAATGAAAATCATCACCTTTTTAGAGCATGTGCCTTTACTTTTGCATACACAAAATTAGCTATGCAAGTGAAAACCCGGCGGCAGATACGACGCTGCACAGACTTGTTCATGTGTCGTCCAGAGGCGTCTTGGGCTGAAAGGCTAGAGCGGGCAGGCTAACTAGGCCTTTCGGAAAACCGAATCCCTGTTGTGACTCTTGGAAATAACTGACGTTGAAGAGTTATTTGTCTCTCTAGCTTTTGTTTGCGTTCACGCCCCCGGTCTCTTATATTGCCAGGGAGAGTGTCAGCTAGAGGTGCAGCTGACAAAGTACTTGACATGCTGCCATAAGGCGCAACATTCGAGCTTGAATGACATGCTGACGTGTTTTTCACTAATTTGCGGTGGGGAAGTCAATGCATAATGGCACACAAGATCAGCCACTGTTTTTTATACAGCCCTGACACGTACGCACTAAGATGATACAGATCCGTCGTATCACGTGGATAGAAAGACACACGTACATACAGCTAATATGGCGAGTGTGCTGCTGTTCACGACGCCGCTGGCTGCAAGCATATCCCGAAGTTTAACACCTAGTGCTACCGCTGCTCCCAGTTCCAACGCGGTCCAAAGCGGAGTCAGCCAGTGCAGCGACTGGTGTGAACGTGCGGGCATACACTTCAAGGACACCCCGGTTGTAAACCTTGGTGAGGAATTGTCGTTTACAACGGCTTTGCGTGAGTCGTGAAATAATACAGCGTGGAATTCATTAACGTTCGGTTGGACGAAAACAGTCGAACTGCGGCATCCCGCAGTTATCTACGGCGAGCGACGCCATCGTAGATGAAGGAGACAAGGCGACGGGCGGCCTCCGGGAACCGGAGGCCAAACTAGCCTGTGTCCATACCGATTAGCGCACATTTCAATTCATGAGGGTAAGCTTGCAGCACCCGTGATAGCGCCGAGGTGCAGCACGCTGGACCTCAACGCTGCCCAGATCTCCCTGACAGTGGTAGCCGGTGATGTTAGGATCTCCCCCGATCTCCCTGGCCGTGGCAGCTGGCCAAATCAGGGTCTCCCCGATCCCCCTGGCAGTGACATGACAGCTGGTCACGTCAGGGTCTCCCCGATCCCCCCTGGCAGTGACAGCTGGCCACGTGAGGATCTCCCCGATCTCCCCTGGCAGTGACATCTGGCCACGTCAGGGTCTCCCCGATCCCCCGGTAGTCGCATCCGGTCGCGCTCGGCCGCGCCAGCCGCGCTCAATCGGCCGCTCCCAGCGTGGCGGCGTCGCCACCCTGTGCCCGGCGCCCCGTGAGACTGACGTCTGAATGAGCGGCTCCGGGAGAGGCTGGCCTGGCCGTCAGCGGCGCGAGCATGGCGCCGACTCCGCCGAGCCGCTGACGCAGTCGATAAACGCAAGGCCGGCAGCCGCGTCGCCGCGGGTCGGGGGTAGCCGAAGTGTACTGCGTACATCGCTCTTGAATGGCACATTGCCGGATGTGCCACATAAAGAGGCGTATGTGCAATGCAGTGCCGTCGTGGCACAGGACGTAACACAGAGTTAGCGTGCGAAAAGGCCGAAGGGTGAGAGCGGCGTGACCAGAGGGAGCGTTTGCCGGACCTACTGACGGGCTAACGGGAAAGGTGGCTGGTGTGATCCGCTGAGTTGATGACAGCCGCCCATATGCGACAGGGAGCAGCGCCTTGTCAAAAACTGCTGTGTCGTATTGGCGTAGAGTTTGGCAGAAGACGTTTCCTTATTTTGTGAATGTCTGGCACAACTGAGTTCATTGCGCTGGAGTCCCTGCGGCCTTTGTTGTCATGCAAGTAATGGTTTAACAGGACTTTACAACCGAAAACTTTTCAAGCGTGTAACCGCAAGGCTAGTACCCGCTCGTTTTCGCCTGTGCGCACTGTACCCTTGCGCGCTGCAGCACACGGGGATTATCCTGAAGCCAGCTGTTGTCAGAGAGTCGTGCCAGAACTAGCCCGTCCGTCGATCCCGCCCAGCGCCGAGCGGACCCTGCCAGGCTCATCATGCGGCACGGATTCCCAGCGGCTGTGGATGTGCCCCATTATCAGCTGCATTATCACCGAGGCGCGATTGAGGTGATGATGAGAGATGGACAGTTTCAATAGTTGCAACACGTAAACTAAAGTGAATGTAGGCAGAATCAACTGGCAATTGTACAAATGGGTTTGTCATTGGCAGTTCTGATAGGCTATCGCGATAACGTTGCATGGGAATCGCTCAGCGATATTGACAGTACGTGCGCTTATGCATTAGCATTCACTGTAAAATGTCACAGCTTAATTTTAGCTACATTTCATACCGACCATTTGCAAGAGCATGTCTACACTACACTTCAGTCCGTGTGTACTTTATGCAGATTTTCGTTTAACTTGTCAAAGGAATGCCAATTATAGCAACATGGAGCCGTAAACAACTTCACGCCACTAAGATGGAATTGGCTCCACGTATGAGAAAGCCAATCTTACTTGGAATAGATTAGCCAGTAAGCTATCTTCCAATGCAGAAATACCCTTTTCATTTAAACTTTTAGTCTGACAAAAACTAAGGAATTTCCTGACGCCAGGAACGACTTGAATAGTTTCTGATAAGTTGTGGCCAGGGGTTGATCCGAGTGAGACAAAGTCAGCCAGGCGAATGTTCTTCATTGCAAAACAAACCCAAGTTTTTTTTAAGAAGTACACCTGGTGCATAAGCATAGTTATAATAAGCTAAATGAGTGGCAGTTACGCATGCAGCCACAATGAATTGAATTACTTTGTATAATAAATGTTCACTACTTCCTGTACAGACCACTTCAATACGCACTCGGAGGGGTACCCTCCGAATGTTTGTTATGACGTTATGACATGACGTATGAATGTTATGACAAAAGGAATGTTTGTTACGTTCATGCCTGCTGAAAAGCGAATGAAGCTTGTCATCTGGGAACACAAACAAATAGGACGATTCAGTGTACTGAAATATCCCACGGCAATGGTTCCACCAGGAGCAGGTACACAGATGTTTAACGCTCGCGCACACATTTATGGTAGGACTGCTTGAAAATTCATTGACTGGGCCCGACTGGACGAGACTGGGCCTTATCCAAGCCATTTTTACACGCGCTCGGGTATGGGTCAATTTGACTCCCAGGAGGTTTTTCCAGAATGATTTCCTAGCAGTCGTACCAAACTTGGCATAGCTGTAGGCCATTGAATAGCGGATCTTTTGGTGGAACACAACTTTATGTGCATGTAAGGATATCCGTTGTCACTGTTGGCAGATGGCAGTCAAAACCAGCCTGTTTTTCTGGAGAGCCTGCAATATGGGGTAGTTTCTGATGCTCAGTTCAATTTTTGATAGCAGGGACTGCAAGATATATTTTCCATGGACTTCTGAAATGTCAAAGTGGGTCACTAACCTAACATGACCCAGATAAGCCTCCTTTAGAAAAATATCGTCCGGTCTAATACGGCGCGTTAACGGGAATGTTTTACGTTTGAGGATATTGGAGTTTGTTTCATCAGATGTGATGAAACAAGCTCACTTATAGCTACAAGTTTGCTTTTGAAGTGGAAAGTATTGCTCTAGACAGCACAATTCTCTGTTTAGTAAACATGGTCCTCAATGCATCATGCTTTGATTACGTTATCGTACTTTGTACAACACTAATTGACAGCCAATTGACGGCCGTTATGTCTGGAAATCGCGCTCACACATCCCAGATATGAACGCTTCGACAATAACATTTTTCTTGGCTTTCATTGCGGTATGGTTTGTAAAACTGCAGGATTTGATTGACGCTTTTATGACGTCACGAATGCCAAGATGATTGAAATACTCTCTCGCATACACCTTTTTCCATTTTCGCGGACGTGTGGCTCAGAAACCAGAGGCGCTTTGGTCTTAAGATTGGCAGGGCTGTGAACAGTAATGAAAGGTCTTCAAGATTGCTATTTCAGTTTAAAACTCCATTTAAATGTGGAGCACTCCCTTTAAGTTGCGAAATGTATTGATTTGGACTAGTGTGTTTTTGCTTACTGCCTAAAATTTGGCAAAACCAAAGATTTTGTCGGTCGGTATTGATTCCAATAAACTGGATGATGTGTCTATGCAGTTCCCATAGCTCGATCTCTCTCGGTTTCTGTCACAGCACATTGTATCTTAAGCCTGTCGCAGACAAGCCGACAATAGCCGCTGATCAGTGTAATAGCGTCACACCCATGGGTTGGAAAATGCAAAACATTTAGTTATTTTTCAGCTGGTGCTGGATGTTGCTTGCACTTACACCGAACAGGTAGTTCCACGTGCACATTTGCTCTGGATGCAAATATATCTTATCTGTCCTCCTCGAAAGCAGTTTGAAACGATCGGGTCAACGACCTGAACGTCAAAGCCAGTGAACGACTGCATACATCGACCCGCACCTCTGCAGTTACGATTGTCCGTTCTCTCCTCCGGGAAAATGTGTCGGTTTGTGTCGCTGCGACGCCTGGTCATCCAAGTTTGGACCTGGCTTTGACTCGTGCTCTGTAGCCTTTTTGCAATGTGAGAATTCAATGTTCCCACGTTTATCGGACGAGAAATACGTGGTGATTTTGCAATCTAGTGGGAAACTTCCACCCGAGCAGTTCGTTCTAATTACCTCCAAAAGATTGG